AAGAAATTAATTGGACAACTAAAAAATATATAGAAAAAATTAGCCAGGCATGGTGGCGCATGCCTGTAGTCCCAGCTACTCGGGAGGCTAAGGCAGAAGGATCGCTTGAGCCCAGGAGTTTGAGGTTGCTGTGAGCTAAGATGACGCCACAGCACTCTAGCCCGGGCAACACAGTGAGACTCTGTCTGAAAAAAAAAAAGAGCTGGGAGGGGGCTTCTAGGGGAACATCCCTTCTAGGGATGAGGCACTTGAAGACATGGGATCAGATTTCAAATGAGATGTCAGAGCTTCAGAGTTTTGGTATTTATTCTTTACACATAAAAGTTAAAAGAGGTGAGTGTCATGCAAGCTGAGTCCTGTGGTAGTCTCCAACTTTCTTGCACCAGGGTTCAGGACAAATTCCACAATATAATTTAACATGGATTAAGGGTAACATGAGAGCCAAGGATGAGCAAGAAAAGAAATATGGGCACCCAACCCCCTCCTCCACCTGCCCTACCATCGTCCCACAGAGAGGTGTGCAGGACCCTTGGGGCAGGGCTGTGCCCTCATGGAGGTGAGCCCCCATCACTCTCCCTTCTTACCTGTGAGCACGAAGGCAGTCTTACCCAGCTTCTTGGCACACCCGGTCTGAAGGTAGGCCGCCATTGGTTTATAGGCATTGTCTGGAAATACCAGCTGTCCACCTGGAGACTTTGAGGCCTGTAGGATGTTGTCTACCCTTCTGCTGGAGGGATTGACGCCCCCAGCCTACCAGGAGAGTTAGCCTGGGTGCAGCCCCTCCCTCTGGGAGAAACGGGAGTCCCCAGTCCCAGCTGATTCAATGTTTAGGTAACCTCAAATGACTTCCCAGAGTCACTTTGGGACGATTCTGCTATTGGATTGGGGGAGTTCCCCAAGTAGGAGATATTTCTAAAGATGGAAGGAAGTTCATGACAGAAGGTTGGGAAAACCAGAGCCTCTGCTGGCTGATGTGGTAACTTACTGTGACTCAGAAAAAGGTGTCCCCCTGGGCCCCCGTAGCCTTCGAGCACATGGTGGGGCAAGCATGCAGGGACTTCGGGCAAAGAAAGGGCTTTTTCATGCAGGTACATCTAGCTGTGTGTCAGGGCACAGAACTGAGCAAACAGACTGGGTCTTAGGTGCCACTGGCCTCCTATGCTGGCCACTATGGTGCAGGGATGTAAGTGGATGACCTGGAGTCTGCAGCTTGGGGTAAATCTTTACCCAGGGGAGACTGATGGAAGCCAATGGACAAATCCAAGGTGGAGAGCCCAGTCAGAAGGAGACCACAGAGCACTAACATGCCACTGAGAAAGGAGAGGATTTCCAAAGGAAAATCAAAGAGACAAAATGCTATGGGGCCAGGGAGGCTCAGCACTGAGAATAAGACATCAGATTTGGCAACTAAGAGGTCATTGGAAACATTATATAATAGATTAGGGAGAGCAAACCAGGTCATAGAATACTTGCTAGATCCTTTGCAATTTTAAATGGGGAAATACAGCCCTCTATTAACCCCTGACCCTTTCTCTCTCACTTTTCCAACAGCCCTGAAGCCAGTGGATCTACATGCCACATATCAGACAGGACCCCCTGATGGCCTGATGGCCGTAGAGACCACTCAGGGTATAGTGCTGCACTGGTGGGCCTACGGCTGGCCCCTGCGCTTATCCACAGGGGAACACCAGTGGCCTCTCTGCACCCTGTAGCCTGGGAGCTGGGGGGCCTGGCAGGGGGCCCTCACACCATGGTGGTGCTGGGCCTGGGAGCCCACTTCACCACCTTCCCACTGGAGACCCTCAAAAGAATGTGATCTCTAGGAGGGATAGGAAGTTTGTCTACCTTGCACACTGCTGAATCCCATAACCTAGGGCAATGCCTGAGACATTGCAGGTGTTAAATATCCACTGAATGAATAAGCAAATGAATTAAAATCAGATGACCAAGGGGTCACCTCTATGCCCTGCACCTTCTCTCAGCAACCTGCACCCTATGAGAAATATGCAGTTGGCTAAAGGGCCCCCCAATGCAGTTGCTGATTACCCTATTTGCACAATTATTACTGTCAGTCCTTCACATTTACATTAGGGCAGTATGATTTTCAATGCAGTTTCTATTTTTATTTCGAAGAAACCTCACAAGAACATCCTCCCATTTTGCTGAGGCCTCGGGAAGACGCACACGGAGCTGAGCCAGTCCTTGGTCCTAGTTTGGTTGCAGAGACAGGCAGAGAGTGATACTGGCAACCGCAGTTGCTAGAACACTGTGTCCTCACTGGAAAACTGGCCTCCCGGAAGGGCTGGAAGTGACCACCCTTGACTGCTCTGTGGTGGGCCGGGTCCTCTCCCTCTCGCTCCTCGCTGTAAGGGCTTCCTTGACAAGAGTCCAGTCCCTCTCGAGGCTTATCAGTCCGGAGGGGCTCCTAGTCTCTGACCCCTGGCTCCTCCGGCTATTCCGTCAACTCTTTTTCTCTGGTTGGGAGGCTTCTCTGAACACCAGAAAAGGGGCTCCGTGACCAGGCACAACTACGTCAGCAGTGTCTAGGACCCTCTTCCGGCTCCGCTCCTGGGCCACCGGGTCTTCGCTCAGCGCCCGCCACGAATCCTCGTCCCCATCGCGCTCAAACACATCGCCCGCCACCACCACGGTGCCCAGGGCCGTACCTGCCACCACCACGCTCACGTCCCGCTGGCCCCCGTGGCCCGGCGTGGCCCACACCTCGAGCCCCGGCCCCAGCTGCAGGGGGCGCTCCTCACCCAGCCCATGGGGCAGGTAGCGGCCCCCGGGGAGGCAGAAGTCGTGCGAGACCAGCAGAGCCGCGCCTGGAAACAGCCCCAGGTTCCCGACATGGTCCGAGTGCCCGTGGGTCCCCACCACAAGAGTCACATCTCCCGGGGACACGCCCTGACCCGCCAGGGCCCCCAGCAGCGCCTCCCGAGCCCAGGGGCCCCCGGTGTCCACGAGGATGGGGCCACGGGCCGCCTCCTCCAGGGCGGTCTTCGCGCCGCCGCCCCCGCGTGGGGACTCTTGGTGGTCAGAGGCCAGGCCCCAGGCCTGGGGCAGGACAAGGGTCACAGAGCCGTCGGCGCGCACGGCGTCGTCCACGCCCTCGGGCTCCGCGTAGCCCTGCAGCAGAACCACGACCGAGTAGGAATCACCGGGCACCAGCAGAGGGGCCCCCCCACGCAGCGGCTCGGTCCGCACTAGGCTGCTCATGGCAGGGAGGGACGAGCTGGGGAGAAAGGAAGTGGCGCTGTAGGCGACCGTTCAAGCGCTCCGCGTCCCCGCACACGTCCCGCCCCCCACTACTCAACTGGCACCCCACACCCCCTGCCAAAGATGGTATGGCCCAGCTGGCTTTCTCACGTGAGTCCGCCCCGCCCCGGTTGTCTTGGGCAGGTCCTCCCCCGTCACCCTCCAAAGGACAGCCTTACTTCCGTCAGTCTCACCCTAGGCGCTCTCCCCTGGACCTAGCTGTATCGCCTCTGTTAGGTTTTACTTCACTCGAGGAAAGCGCAGAAGTCGTAAAAGAGCAAGGAATTTTGTCCTCTGCGAGCTCCCGTACACCGTGCTATGGTGGCCGAAGCAGCGCCACGCAAGTAACTTTAATTCCGGCGCCTTCCTCAAACTGTCCCGAGGGAGGCTGATCAGAGTCCAGCTTCACACGGTTCTTGGTCCCGCGACCCCTGCCCCCTTGGGCTGCAAATTATCAAGCACCGTTATTTTCTAACAGGACGGCGGCCGATGGCCCTCTCTATTCTTCGGGGGCTGCCTCATTGATCAGCTACAATGTGTGCACAGCTGTTGTTTGAAACTTTGGGCCCAGCTGGTATTTAAAGAAAAAAAAAGTTTAATAGCGATATAGAAAATTTAGCACCTGTGAAATTATCTGGTGGGCCCTCGGTGAAGTTAATTTGAAGTAGACCAACTGTCTACCCCACCTAACTTACCAGCATCACCTTGCCCCTACTCAGTGTCCTATTCTCGTTCACGGTTTGCTGGCATGTGGCCCCCAAACGCAATGGATATAGGTCCTAGAGGATGTCTGTTCTGGCCTCTTCCTTGTAAGAGTCTGAAAACAGACCCTGAGGGGCAAAGTGACTTTCCCAAGAAAATACACAGCTCCAACACCACAGCCACGGCTGACCTCTGGGTGGGGGTGGGGTGCAGTACAGACATTTAAAGGGGAAAGACTTCAGTAATGTCACCACACACACTTGCCAGTTAAGGGGCTGTATGGCAGACAGAGGGCCCACCTGTAGGGGCAGTACTTCCACCTGCAGCTCTCACCTTTCTACCCATAAGCATGTGATGCTGCATTACCAGGATCCTGCCTGACATCATATGGGAGAGAACAGCTATAAGCTTTGGGGTGGGGTCACACACACACACACACACACACACACACACATCCTGAAAGCTGTGGGGCAGGGAGAGCTCAGACTTCAGAGGATTCTTCTCCATCATCCCTGCCCCTCCTGAGGACTCAAAGGCAGAGGTCAAAGATCCTCTGGGTCATGCTTGGGGTGGCCTGGTGTCTTGATCAACTTTTCTCCTTCCTCCTCTTCCTCCTCCTCTTCTTCTTCCTCCTCCTCTTTGGTCTTCTCTTGCCCATCTGTGATCTTCTCCTTTCCAGTCCAAGTTTCCTGTAGACATGCTAGGTTGGGTGAGAGAAAACAATTTAGATATTGGTCCTGGAGGTAGGGGAGGCTGTGGCCTGGCAGGAGAGGAGCCTAACCCCCACACTTACCAGTTTCAGCAGCTGGGAGCACATGACCTTCACAGAGAAAATGCTGTAGGGGTTGCTCCTGATGGTGGAAGTACCAGTCTCCAACAACATCTTCAAACTCCTCCAGCATCGTCTCACACTAGTCAAATGGAAGGGCTAGAAGGGTATCTGCTCTGCTGGGCTTTGGAAGCCCTCCTCTCTGCTCTCCACTCCCTGTCTCCCTGATTCCACTTGACTAACTTTGGAGAGGCAAGTAGCCAGGAGGTTAGGCTTGGATTACTAGATGTGTGATCCTCATTCATTCAACAAACACTAGCACCTACTCTGCCAAGGAGGTTATTAAATTCTGAGTCTCAGCTCCTCACCTGTAAAGTGGGGAATGTTAACAGGATCTACCACATCATGGTGTTGTGAGGGGAAATGAGGCAGCAGCTGGAAAGTATGTGGCCAAGAATTTGGCACATAGTAGGTGCTCAATAAGTGGTGGTGGATAATATTAGCTTCTGTTGTTACTTCTTGATGTGCCACTTTAATCAATGGCACAATCCTTACTCTGCCCCCTTCTCCCTGCTCAGAGGTGGATGTCCCCTCAGTTAAATCCTAGGACCTAACTCCCCTTTCAGGTTCCCTTGTCTCCTCCCTAGACAGCAAAGTATCTCATCCTACCTGCTTCTTGAGGAACGTGACCTCCACACTGGGCTCGTCCCATAGTTCCAAAGGGATCCCCAGATCCACCTTCACCCCCTTCTGCACTAGGCCTTTCAGCGTTGCCATGGTCTGACTCTGACCCTAAGAGATGAAGAATTTGGAATCAGTCCAGCTCACCATGCCCCCTCTTCCTTCTCCTTTCCACTATATCAGCTTTGTCAAGTACTAGAAACTCAGGGGTGGTTCCACAAGGGTAAGATGAGGGAGTCTGACAACGAGAAGGAAATGGGCAGGTATCTCTTGAGGACCTCAGGGGATATAGGTCTTTGTGTCTGAGAAGTGGGGTCCTGCCCCGGGGAAGGGTCTGACCTTGGCATATCTCAATGAGCCCTTGCGCTCAGCATGAACACTGTAATCCAGGATCCGCTCACATAAATTCTCCAAGGCCTCTTCCAGCCTTGTCTCTCTGTGGGAAGAGGAGACACAAAGATTCCCTGGACATTGTAGGAACTCCCAAGGCTCCTCTGGGGGTTGGAGGTGGAGGAACACCAGGAAGGACTCACGAAACACTGTAAGGCACGTGTCTCTTCCTCTTGCCTGTGTCCAGCACCTGACCCAGCTCCAGCACCTCTCGAGATCGGCCAGTGCGACTCAGCTCCTCCTGCAGCTCTGTGCTCAGCAGCTTACACACTGGTGGGGAGGAGAGAGGTCCAAGGGGAAGTGAAAAACAAGTAAACAGCAGCAGTTCATTCTGCAGATGACCAAAGGCAGCAAGTGTAGAATGGAGCCAGGCAGAGGCTGGGCTAGAATCCTGGCTCAGCCACTTAGCAGCTGTGTGACAATCTGGCTGTGCCTCTGTTTCTTCATCTCTAAAATGGGATAACAGTATGTCCCTTGAAGGGGTGTGGTGAGGATTAAATAAATCAAAATATGTAAAGCCTTTAAAGTACTGCCTGGCACATAGTGGGTACTGAGTAAATGTTTGCTGTTATTCTGCTGTTATTTATTAAACTCCTTTTTTATGCACAATAACAATATAGAGGGCAATAAGACTCACTATCTCTATCCATGGGACACTGTCAATATAGTTGGGGATAGATAAACCAATGATGACAATATAGTGTGATAGACTGTATACCAGAGGTTAAGACCAAGAGACTTAATCTCATTAAGAAATGCAAAACTCATTCAATGGTCACTTATTGACTTCCTACTAGCCTCCAAGTTCCTTAAGGGTGAGCATCATGTCTGTTCCACTACTGTCTTTCCAGCACCTAGCACGTGACCTGGCATGTGGTGAGTCCCAAGAAAGAGAATGGCCCATACAGAAGTGACAAGCAAGCTAAACACAGACAAAAGTAACAAAAGTGCCTAAAATGTGCCCAGCACTAATGCTAGGACCTGGGATACACAAGCACTCCCCTTTGCTCCAGGGGTTTACAACATAGTGGGAGGTGACAGATAAGGAAGAAGGCTTCTAAAGGAGGTGACACATTTAAACTGGGTCTTGAAGAGTGGATAGGAGCTTATGAAATACAGAAGAGAGAAACAGCAAAGGCACAGAGGTGTGAGAGGACATGGCGTGCTCAGTGACCAGTGAGAATATCACTGTGGCTGAAGCATGGGCACTTTGGAGATACGGGGCAGGGTTATGGAAATGTAAGAAAGTTTGGGGCCATACAACAAAGAGACTTATATGCAAGTCCTGAGAAACACTGATACTGAAATGCAGTGGAAGGTGAGGCGAAGAGAAAAAGAATTTCGGGAAGAAATTTAAGGTCAGGCAACAAGCTGGGGAACCAGGGCACTCGATCCAGCTCTAAAGTGCTCCCTCTCCACTGGGCCCCACACTAATGCAGGCACGAAAGTTGCTGCTTGCTGTAAAATCCGTATAGTACACACCCTTTGCAAAGCCTCACACGGACGGGGCACCTCTTCTAGTTGTTTGGCTTCCCCTCTTTTGTTTATGAGCTTCAAGGGCTGAGTTACTCACCCTCACACTCCCGCAGGAGGGAGTGGGGCCTGTAATTTGGGAGCGTCTCTGCCAGGGTGGGGCACAGGATGTCCGCAAGATATGAGCCTCATACCTCGCTCCTGTAGGCTCTCCAGATTTAGATCTGGTGACATGGGGGAAACACTAAAGATGCTCGGTAGAGGTGGTCTTGGGCAGGTAGTCCTTGAACTACAGTTCCCACAATCCACTGGGGCCCAGGCCAGCAAGAAAAAGCGGGCTTCCTCTGGATGTGTCATGGGAATTGTAGTGCCGTAGTTTGGGGGTGGCACTATCCGTTCCCTCCCTTGACCCCATTCGAATTCCGCCAAGCTCCAGCAGAACCTCCTCAGGCCTTCCAAGAGGTCGAGTGACCCACCCATCACAGTTCACTAGGTCTTGCCTGGACCAAGGAGGTGTGGCAGGGCGATACAAATGGGGGCTACCCCCTTTAGATACCTTCGCATTTGCTGGGCAAGCGTTCTGTGTCATCGTCCTCCTTCGGCGTCCCAGCCCAAGCCCCGAACACGGCCAAAATGAAAATCAATAGTCCCAACCGCACAGGTCCCATGACAAAGCGCTGTCCACAAACAACCACCGCTTGCCTTCAAACCAACTTTGGGAAGGCAGTGGGCCCTTTAAATTCAGAGGCGGCAGACGGCAACCTTAAATTAAAAAAA